GATGAAAAAAATAAACATTTCAACTATGAAAAAAATTACGTTTAACGAAAATACAAGTTACGTTTGAAAAACATCACATGTATTTTACAATAACTAAACCAGTTGGTGGAAATGAAAAATAAAACGGAGTTCTTTTTCCATTCAGCTCTCGCAGATGTTTACTGAGTTTCATTAATCTTCGTCCCGATACTGGTCTCTGACGCGTTACATATCACCTCGCTGATGTTGAAATCATCAATTTGCTTACATATTTTTTATAGACAAGGTATTTTGAGGGTAAACTTGACTAGCAGTACTTTGCGGTCCTACCTGTTAAGACGTTTCTAGAAGCTCTTGTTCGCACGCGTTTTTATGACGCGCGTTTAAAAATCGCTGAAATAAAACAATCGCATTTATGTGAATCTGTTCAGAGGCTCTTTATGGCGCAGTGTTGCATTTTTATTGCGATTTTGAAGCGTTGAAAAACGCCAATGCAGTACGTTCTAACTGCGTCCACCGTTAAATCCACCGTCTACTGCCATCCATATAAGGAAAGAGTAGGGAGGTAAAAGGGACTAAAATTAGGCCTCCGACACAAACCCATGGTGATATGATTAAAACAACAAAGTTTTGAACTTATAACTTTTCCATTTCACCCTGTAACACCATACGTTGAGCGACTTCTACAAACAGGGATAATAAAAAGTTACTTTAGAAGTGCTGTTAACTCGGTAACGTTGGGGCGGAACCTCGGTGTTTTAACGTGAAATATTTTAGCATTAACCGAGTGAACATTTCAGTTATATTCATACTAATATTATAAATGTGAAGTTTAAATGAATGGATGGATGTTACTACGACTCCCGTAACGGTCTACGATGTCAATAAAATCAAAGGTTTAAGTTTTTATGAATCCGCGCAAACGAAGACACGGGTAACAGGTAGCATCTAATATTATAAACAGTTCAGACATAATTTGTAAAATTAACGAGAAAAGATACTTTTTCCTTTATGCTTTTATCCAAGTATTCATTTGTAAATTCTTTGATAAGAAAAAAAATAGAAAGGGCCATGAAATTTATTAATTTAGCTTCTCTGAAAAGGAAAATAGTTTTAAAAAAGTTAGATTTTCTAGAATTCAGTAAGAAAACCCTTTTCATCTTGATTCTACTGATAAAATGAAATACCCAATTTATCTTTTTTAATTTAATAAAAATGCTCAGTTTAATCCTACGTTTGAAAAAGATTTTTCTGTTAGCGGCGGGTTAATTATAAGATTTGTCAGTATCTGTTACTACTCAAACTGTAACTGATTGGTCCTTTGATAATCAGTTCTGAACGTAACTTTTATCTAGAAATATTATTTTAATCAAAATCTGAATTATCAGGTGTCCCCTTAGAGAGTCCTAAATTACAAAACAAATATACAAATTTTTCATAATACTTAATTACCTGGAAGGTATTGAGGAAGGCCTATTTCCAAACCAGGGGTTGCAGACGTAAGCAAAAGCGTGCCCTTGGCCCCGGCATAAGGCGTTGGAGCAACCGAGGGGTTTAGTGGGTATGCCCGCCATTATGGGGGGAGAGTCCGACATAACTACCGCGTCCCCCTGGGCGCGGAGTATGCGTAAGAAGCATTCCCCTCTGGCAAAAAAGGCCTATTTCCTAACGTCGGCAGATAAAGGCTGATGAAATACTAAGGTTCTTATAATCACAAGCGACCCACATAGAAAACTTGCAAACTACTTGTCAATTGTCATTAACCCTTGATTCGACGTAGTTTTTTGTAGCAAACAAATATTGTATGTTACCGACATACTGAAATAAAAATCTCACGTATTTTCCTCTAAAGTAGTTCAGTAGATTCTTTTAAATTGGTTGTTCGTCACACTGGACACTATAAATTAAGGGACAGTCGCACCACCTGGCCATAACCTACCGCTGATACTGATCGCAACTATTTTTACACACTAGTAAAAATTATGTCGTGGTCCTGAATTTACAAAATCACAGCTAAAAGTACTACTTCTGAGATGTAAAATACGAGTATAACTATTACAAACTTTGAGTTAAATATTTTTAAAGGAAATAATAACTGGCAACGTACAGCAGAGTTTCTCCGCTAACAAGGAACGTAAAAAATTCCTTTTTAAAAATTCTTTTTAATGAGTTTTAAAAGTGCATATGTTCATGCTTAGGGCAAGTTAATGCTGTTCCAGTTTCGGACGAAGGTCTTAACATTATTTTTTTAAGTGTTAAGGGGACAAAAACTTCTATTTAATGACAAGAATTAAATAAATATCTGCTAAGGTTAAAATAATGAACAGTATCTATCAATGTAAGAAATTGTTACACATATTTGTGTTTTCATAAATGCTTTTGCTTTCGATAAGCTAAATTATTATTGAGTAACAAAGGCTACTTTTTACAAGATTTCTTTAATGCCGCGCTTACGAAGACAAAACTTAATTTGCAATTACTTTGGTGAACCCAAATTTAAAAAAAAGAAAGGACGTAAAATATCTTAAGGTGATTATTGTCTCTTCAAAAGTAGCTTAGTGTAGATTTCAGATTGAATCTAGAGAATTAGAATTACACTTTGCAAATTAGTCACTCTAAATTCAGTTAATGCATGTCTTGTTTGCATGTTTTATTCGCGTTATCATGAACATCTCATTATCTTATGTACGCCAGTATGTAGGTATAATGTTTGGTTTGGTTTAAAATGGGAATATAAAGGAGTTCGGTATTCCGTTTCCTCGTACACTAAATGCAAATTGCAGTCCACCGGCAGTCGAATGTTAGTTCAGCTGCTATTTAACTTACTTTTATTAGACTGGACTGAATAAATTGTGAATAAGGTTTCAATATCTGGTATTACGATAGACAACTGGAGTTTTACGTCTTTTATGTTTCATGTGTAATCCAATTTATAATTGACTCGATGGTAACTGATAAAAGAACCTTAACTTTTAGTAATCCTATAGTTTGTCTAAATAAGATAGATTCGTTTGATAAATGACGCATATGAAGTATCGAATTCAATTTGTATGAAAGCAAATGCCATACTTAATAGACAGGTATGTAGTGACGAAATAAACACGCAGCGAACAATTTTGAATTATCGATATTCGGTTTAAATATAACTCAACTAAAATAATTATTTTCTTGTTAACTAATTTAGAGGACAATTCTAGTATTGATTATAGTGTAGAGAAATTAGCGATGACAGAATGAATAGCGAAATCCAATTCGATTACGTACGTCTGTAGTAGTAATAAACATTTATTTACTCTCATTATTTGTAATGGTCATTATGTATTTGAGAAAACAGTGTTTTTTTTTTCAATTCATAAGTTATAACTATGAATCTATCGATTCCAACTTCTATTAGAATAAAAATCGAAAATCGATATGATTCATGACTGATTTTACTCAACCCATCCCTATTCAATTTCAAATGAATTGTCAAACTAATCTAACTTAGACACACTATAGTATTAAAAATAACTAATTTGCTAATATTATAATAGCGAAATTTTAGATGGATGGATGTTTGTTCGAGTTTATTGCTTAAACTGTTGAACGGATATCGATGAGATTTGGCATAAATGTACAGCACATTCCGAAAGAACACATAGGCTACCTATTTTGTTTTCAATCACACGCAGACGGCATCGCGCGTATATGCTTGTATATCAATAAAGTACAACATTCTTGATTAAAAAAAATAACTCAAGGAAAAATGTTTAAAATGTGCATAATGAACCAAGAAGTTATGTAGCGTAGTTCCTTAAAGTGGATTTAATTAAAATTTACTTTAATTTTACCTTGTTGAAGGATCATTGTAACGTCGATATTGGTATTCCGTAATTGGAAACAATAAAACTTTGCTTTTGACAGACGGCTGTCATTCCTCGAAAGGCGAGTAGAAAATTAATCATAACTTGATTGAATATTAAATCCGCCATTAATAATTTTATACTCAAACAAAAACATATTGATAATTTTGTCTTAAGAGAAATCAATGAGACAAATATATTTGAAGAGTGGTAGTAATAGTTTAAAAAATAGCTAAGGAGTCTCTTACATTTATAAAGTACTTTGTAAATTTAAAACAGACGCATGTTAAATTTTTAATTCAGATTTTTAAATACAAGAACTTCATTCCCAATTATCTTAGATCATAAATTAATAGCTTTTGCACAAAGCTTCATCCGCGTAAAAGAAAAAGATACAAAAATGAGTAACCTATGTATTCTTCTAGAATATCCTCTACATCTGTGCCAAATATCATCGAGATTCGTTCAGCAGTTAAGGCTACAAACTCTAACAAACTTTCATCTATCGTAACTTTTTCATTTACAATATTAGTAAGATGTTAAGACAAAAACTATCTTATTGCCTTTTGCAAATACAAAAATACAATACAAACACAGAAAGTAATGAATATTGGTGACATATAAAAATAGATATATAACACCAATTTATTAAATTGATAGAAAAGTTCTATATCTTTTCTATCTTGTAGATAGTGAAGTACGGTACGCACTATGCTTTCAGAAAATATTAACTTTCGTCCACTTGCTAGATTAAATTTCTTTTTCATATGTATAAAATATCCCGTCACTTTAGTAAAAATATGGAATAGTAAAAACATGGAATAGTAACATACAACAAATTGTTTTTAATCAGATAACTCTTCCCAAACCTTACTTAGAAAATATGGTCCCCATGTCACAAAAGAATAGACAAAGCTACATACAAGTATATACACACACTGTATCATTTAAAAGTATATACTACTAGCTTTTGTCCAAAACTCTCTCTATATTCTATATACCAAATTTCATCGAATTCCGTTAAGCAGTTTAGACTAATTCTAACAAACATCCATCCATGTAAACTTTTGCATTTATAACATTAGTAACATTACTTAAATATACATCTTTAAAAGCCTTATATGTTTAAGTTATATATAGGTTACAAGTTGGCACGACATTTAGAGAAGAAACAACAAATCGATGTTAAATCGTTATTTACTCTTTCATGATTGAATCTTATGTTGGGACTACGCATGGATCCGATGTCAATGTTTGAACAGGGGGGCATATCACTTGTTTGTAACTTTGTATTATCAGTATATCGTTGCACAATACAGCTGAAACAAAATACATTATAGAGAACACGGTAAGAATACATCTAAGAACTTATAATGAAAATTCGTTACAATTTATGTAACGTTATTAACAAAATTTGTATTACATTTGAACAGCGCACCTACCGGGCGTAAAATAAACTAACAAATCTTATACTATGACGATGACGTCACAAACACGTTCTCGCAATTGTAACGTGATATTCCCTTAGCTACTGACAGATCAGTAACGTTTTTTTGCGACTATATCTATACTTCTATACTAATATAATAAAGCGTAAACACACACTACTTTGTGGCGTAGGATGTCAGCAATCACAGGATATTTTTGAATAATTCTTTCTTCAATAAAAAGCCCTACACTTACGACACGCTTTAAGCTATATATTTTAATGTTATTAAACTTAGGCGGTAAGGAAAATACTTCATGTGGAAAGGGACCATAAACTACAAACTGCCAGCTTTAAGGAAGCAAGGTTACTATCGTAACGGTATTTGTTACATTTGCAGTTGAGAATTTGACAAATCCAAACAATGAAATAAAGATTTTATAATATCATGCGGATGAAGCCACACGGGAACAGCTAGTGTATACATAAAGTCATTAAAACACATTTTTATACCATAACATTACTTGGTATTATTAACCTGTACTTCAGCATCCTTTGTCATTGAATTATTATTTATGTCACATAGTCTAATCATTTGGATCGAAAATGTTTAAAATAGTATAGTTACAAACGTAAATACGAAAATAGTTACCAAATATTGACACAGCAAGTATAGCAAACATCAAAGCTAACAGAAAATGCATCGTGAGGTACCCAGTCCGGATATAGTAGGCAAAGCCTATTATTCCCAGCAAGGCATTGTAACCTCCGATCACCAAGCACATCCATATAGCCAATTGAAGTACGGGCACACGTTGCTACAAAAAAAAATGTAAACGTTAATAACGCTGTCACCTGCGATTTACCAAACGAACTAAACACTGCACTTATCCATATTTTAAAATCTGTTATTATACCAGTTTTTTTTAAATCTGTCTTGAAGTATACTCACTAATTAAAGATTACGTAATACTTTTTTTTATATAATAAAAGGGGGCAAACGAGTGGCGTGAACACCAAGGTGGTCAACAACGCCCTTGGACATCCGCAACACCAGAGGAACTACAGATGCGTTGCCGGCCTTTGAGGAAATGATAGGCTCGCTTCTTGAAGGACCCTAAGTCGTATTGGTTTGGAAATACCGCCGACGACAGACCGTTCCACAACGCGGCTGTGGGGGGCAGAAGGTTCCTAAGAAGAAAGATTTACATACACTAATTGCAACAAGACGTGAAAATTGAATCTTGCTAATTTACAATAAGAAAGTTTAGATGGATGGATAGATGTTTGGTAAAGTTTGTCGCTTGAACGATTGAACGGATCTCGATTAAATTTGGTATACCTGTAGGGGATAGTCTGGACTGAAAGAACACGTAGCTTACTTACTTTTGTTTATTCTTAATGCGACGCGGAATCGCGTAATAAAATACATAAAATATTTTAGATTGCTATTAAATTTTGTTTATTTAAAAGAAGGAATGTTACTATTACGCTTAAGTATCCGAGTAGCAAACCAACATTTAAAATTCAAATTGGATTGACTTCGAAAATGCAAACGCAAGTTCAGCATTAGAATTTATAGCACTGCTTCCCGATGTCAAACAAACAACGATAGTCTAAGTAATCGTAATAATTTTACGTTTAAAATGTAGTTATAACTTCCAACATTTCTCCATATAAATCAACTAGCTATTGCTTATGATTTCGCCCGCGTGAACTTAAAAAAAATAGTTAAAACGTGGCCTATGTTGCTTAGTGATACCATAGCTTTCGAATGGTGCAAGAATTGTTGAAATCCGGTCAGTAGTTTTTAAGTTATTTCAGTACAAACAAAAATACAAATCTTTCCTCTTTATAACATCACTATAGATTTTGTGTTTCTTCAGATATTCTAACCTCTACAGCTCCCAAGAACAATAAAACAGCAAGCACAACTTGAGGTACGATTGGTAATAACGTCATAATTTGTATCGTGTAACCCATCGTCGTACTTGTATTCATAAAAGACATGAAGAATATTATCAAATAACACAGCACGGAGCTCTGGAAGAAATATAAAAAATGTCAACACAAAAAAAGAACAAAATTATAAAATTACAGGTATGAATTCTTAATTTCATCCTCGCCTTTGCCAAATCTTTCTCTTTTACTTTTTTTTTAATATAATAAGGTAGCAAACGAGCAAGCGTCCACCTAAATCCGCCAAAATTGTGAAGCGACCGCGGCCCATAGACATTTGCAATTGCACATGCGTTACCTACCCTAAATCAACGGAGGAGAAGACGCACAAAAAAAGAGAAAATTTCCCCTTCCTATGCGTCTCCTCCATCGTCAAAACCACTTTCCCATCCAATCCTTTTCTTTTAAGAAAAGGGTGGAACGGGAAAGAGACTAAAATTGGGCCGACGGCACCACACTCATCAGACGAAACGCGGAATTGCTTCCACCTCATGCCTGTCTTCTGTATGGTCGTGGTATTGCACCGGGCGAGCTGACCCATTCGTGTGAAGATACTTAAGAAAGGGCTCTGCCACTGTATTCTTATTCTTACAAGAAGCCAGCTGTTGCTAGCGATTTCATTCACGTAAAATATATTGCTCAGCAATCACGTAGCTTTCTAATGGTGAAATTTTTGAAATCGGTCCAGTAGTTGAGTTATTTCAATATATACAAAAATACAAAAATACAAATGTTTCCTCTTTAAAACAACAGTGTAAATAAGGTAAGGGAAAGAGGAATAGAATTTAACTTCCAGTACATACAACCACAAGACAGTATGTGGACATATTCTAACTTTGCGATGTCTTAGAACAAATCGTGCAAATAATGGTTTACCTAAGACGCAATTTTATTAGTTGATACCTCGGTATATACTGCCTTCGATTAATCGTAAAGCAAGCTTCGTGCAGCAGTTAACGAGTATAATCCGCGGTAAGGAAATGTATAGAATATTGCCAAACGCAGACCTTTTCTTCTAACTAAAACTTTGTTGAATGAGAGAGTTATGCGTGGACAGTATTCTTGCGGGCGCTAACGACTAATTAAACTTTGTTATGAAAAATAAATATACTGTGAGAAATAATACTTGCGATTTTAATCCAGCCAACACAAATAACAGCATCTCTTAAAGCCCTTCTTCTGAATGTGAGTTCTTCGTTATCCAATCTACCCACGTTGGTGAATATTATCATGGCGTACATACTTCATTCATCGCAAAATTTTATTTGAAAAACACCAAAACATTAGTTTGTTTATGTCTTTGACAGTTACAATTGTCAATGTTTTAAGTCACAGATGTTTAAAGATAAAAAAATAGACACGGATAAAAATAATGTGTAAAATAGGGACAGATAAAGTAAAAATGTTTGTATGTTCCATAAGATTAAATAAAACACGAAATTATCCTATCGTTTGTAGTTTAGCTTCTGTTAAAAATGTAGTGTTTATTTTTGTTTTATTTTGCTTTCAGTATTATTAGTTTGTTTTTTGCTTGCAGTTCTTAATTTTTTACAAGGCTTTGTAAGGCGCGCTGGCATTTGTTTGGGATACAGAAAATAGGAAAAAAAAAATAACTAACGTTAAATATTCCTTTCATTTTACAAAAAACTCTTTCTTTAACGGTAATGCACTTATTAAAAATATTAAAATCCGAGAATTTATAATAAAACATTGATATTAAATTTTACGATAAAGAAATTCAAGGTATGCAAGAAAAATAGAGGATTATTAAAGAATTTTTCCAACGTTGTTAAAGTTAAAGCAGTACTCGTATTGGTGTAACTAAACAAAGGTGAATTTAATGTATTGAATACATTTTAAAGAAAAACATTTTTATGTATACCCAATGTTTTTACATGCTAAAATTTTATCACACGATAATTCAATCTGTGTGAAAATATTCACATCTTGTTCATGACAAGGCCATTACAGAACGATTAAAAATAAATTTTCTATTAAGGAACATGCGTCCTTTTTACATAATACACAGAATAATTAGAAACAGAGATAACGCCTCGCAAAATTATATTTTGTAGACCAACAATATACAGTCCTCAGAAAAACAATATATCAAAAGTCACAAAAAAACTAATAGATATGCAATATGAATGCACAAAAGTAGAATTTCGTCTTAAATATCTTGAGAAAATTGACTTTGTATAATGTACCAAAGTGATACATGCAATAATTTAATCGAAGAATACTAACATACAAGGTAAAAAAAATGTAAAGTAAATTTTAATTTTAAAATAATTTACACTTCTTGTAAACCTTTTTTGTTGCCTCTGTCGGACGTTGATCTGTGTACGCCTATCGAAGGCTTCAATTTAGGTAATCAAATTTCCACAACAAATGAATATTTTCCGCAATTTACCCCACGGCCGGCAGACGAGCGGGCTCTTTATCGAGTGCGATTAATTTAATTCATGAAAATGGCCTAGTTAAATGAAATACAAAGAATGTAAAACATTTGCAAGAAAAACTTTCTTTAAAACGGACGATAAGCTATCAAATAATTTAGATCATAATCACAGATTTTACAGTTGTCGAATTCTTGCCATTTTATGATGCTTTTTTATTTTTCAATATTATTCTCGTTGCTAGTTTCCTTTTAAACTAGTGCTGAAAGACATCCCCAGACTTGCTAAATGTACTAATAGCTGTTTTTTTTTTTTATATCTATAAAAATTAACAAAATACAAATGATTTAAATTTGCTGAACTTCAGAAAATTCAAGACAGGGCTTTCTCATCTTGTAAGTGTGTCTCAACAGTGGTAGAGCCCGCTTTAACATCTTCGCACGAATGGGCCGGCTCGCTCGGTGTGATACTACGACCACACAGAAAACAGGCGTGAAGTGGAAGCAATTCCGCGTTTCGTCTGATGAGTGTGGTGCCGGAGGCCTAATTTTAGTCTCTTTCCCTTTCCACCCTTTTCTTAGAGGAAAGGATGAGAAGGAAAAGTGGATTTGACGGTAGAGGAGACGTATAGGAAGGGGAAAAGTCCTCTTTATTTGCGTCTCCTGCTCGCTTTCGCGGTCTGCTAGCGGTCGCTTTTCATTTCGGTGGATTCCAGTGGCCGCTTGCTTATTTGCCACCTTATATTACATAAGAAGTTTTTAGTGTGGAGGATTTATTAAGTGGTGACTTACTTTATTGAATCTATGTGAATGGTATGTTTTTGTATAAATTGATTTTTTTAATATAACAAAGGGATCGATTTGATTAAGCTAAAAATTTTATTAAAAGAAAAATGTTTTTAATTTATTGAAGGTGCTTCTTTGGGTCGTCAACCATTTGGTAACACATTCATATGTACATTTCTATTATAACACTCTATATAAAAGCTATCAAAACCACACCACAAGGCACATTATAATACGAGTATGGTAATCTATAAAGCAAGGCTTTGGCTCCATATGTGGAAAACGATCACTCCATTTCAGATTATAAACTCCATATCGTGAATTTCTAGTACGAAACTATCTGCGTATTAGGTATTTAGTTCGGACAGAAAATAGTTTTGGTAATTTACAAGAAAATGACACTGTTCCGATCCTCCCCATGTTAATTAAGCAACGAATTTGCAACATTACAAAAATATATTTTCTTCTCTTCTCTTCTTTCTCTTTATAAGTCTCTTGTCTCTTTTTTTCTTCTTCCTTCTATATGTAAATAAAATTAAAACTTTAGTTTAGTAGTTTATTCGAATCTAGACTAAATTAGGTTTGACTTTATTATTGCTTTTTCGAAAAGGTCGATGGAAAATGAATGAGAATTTATTCCCGGAATTCATAAAGTCGAGTTTTGGAATATTCCATATATTGAACAGTTTTTATTAATAACAAACAAAACTATTGGTAATTCCGAAACTGAGGAAAACATTGTCCTGTTTTTCAGAAAACTCACGGGACATTTTTAAATTCGTTCAAAAAATATCACAAATTCAAATCAACCGAAATCCGGACAGACAAAGATTAACACCTTTCTTAGAAATAAAACATAACTGAAAAGTATAATAAAAAAGTGTATCCGTTCAACTACAAGTAGCTTATTACTAAGTCAAATTCACAATAAAAATAACTATGGTAGGGCTAGACTTTTATCACGTCTACTTTTTTCGGTGCCCTCACCGATAATCTATACTTATCTATCTATACTAATATAATAAAGCGTAAACACACACTTCTTTGTTGCCTAAGATGTAAGCAATTACAGCATATTTTTTAATAAAAAGCCCTACACTTGTGTCACGCTTTAGACTATATATTTTAACGCCATTAAACTTAGGGGGTAAATATTTTGGATAAAAACCCTATTGTGGGAAAGAGACCATAAGTTGCTGCCAACATCAAGAAAGCAAGATCGCTAAGGTTTGTCATGTCATGTCATTTGGACATTTGTTATTGATCATTTGACAAAAGTAAACAGTAAAATACTTTTTTCATAATTTTATGCGGATGAAGTCGCAGGGGAACAGCTAGTTAGTGATAAAATATCTCACGAAAGTTTAAATAATTCAACTCAAAAACTATTGGGCCGATTTCAGAAACTCTTACACTATTATAAAGCTACGTTAGTAGTGAGTAACATAGGCTGTATTATTTTTTTAATGTTACGCAGACGAAGTCGCGAGCAACAACTAGTAAAAAATACACATATTTACTAAAAAGTTTATTTTAGTTTTAGTTATTGAAATGAAATGGATATAGTAGCTATAAGGTATTGAAAACTGCCTATAAGAATATTACCCTTTCAAATGGTTCCTCTGCTAATACTCGTTAGTGCTAATGGCTAGATCGTTTCGAAGCTAGGATTCAATATACGGGTAATAGTTATAACCCCTAGTTTCTATAACATAGCAATTCCTTTATATTGAATTATTTACAGCAACACAATAGTGGTAGAACCCACATAACATCTTCATACTGTAGGGCTAGCTCGTCCGGTCCAAGGCGTAAAGTGGGCGCAATTCCGCATTTTATCTGTACGCTGGAGGCTAATTTTTAGTTCCTTTCCCTACGTATGGAAAGGGAAAGATGATTTAATGGTGAAGGACACGCAATAGAAAATATCCTCCATAAAATAATAATCCTTGAATAAATTTAAAACAACACACTAAGTAATGGTCATTGACGCGGTAACATCTTCACACGAATGGGTCGGCTCACCCCCAGCAATACCACGACCATACAGAAGACAGGCTTGAAGTGGGAGCAATTCCCAGTTTCGTCAGATCAGTGTGGTGCCGGAGGCCTAATTTTAGTCCCTTTCCCTTTCCACCATTTTCTTAAGAGGAAATGATGGGAAGGAAAAGTGGATTTGACGGTGGAGGGGACGCATAGGAAGGGGAAATGTCCTCTTTATGTGCGTCTCCGCCTCCGTCAATTAAGGGTAAGCAACGCATCTGCAATATCGGATGTTTATGTGCAGCGGTCGCTTTCCATTTCGGTGGATTCAGGTGGTCACTTGTTCGTTTGCCACCTTATATTATAAAATAAATGTAATTTAACTATAAATGTAGAGATACAGATTTCCATTTGATAAGTTATACATTGTATTCATATTGAATGTATCAAAATACTACATTGGTATGTGAATTAAATAATTCAATTCTTTATATTATTATGTTCATGTATTTGTATATTAATCATGTTCTTCAATGTATGAAGAACAATTTGAGACAACATAAATTGAAAATTCTTCGCTCAGGTACTTCTAACGTAAAAATTTTTCCGACCACAGAATATATACAAAGAAATTTTACATATGAAAAGAAATGTGTTATATTACACCTTGATCATTTTTCATTGAGGTATTATGTAAAAATATTCCAATGAACATATTCTTATCGCCACCGTTTTAAGTGAAAAAATGTAACTGAAATTGTCTACGATTAATTCTCAGTAAAAAAAACTTATTAAGTCCTTCAATCGTTAAAAGAAACTCATGTGAAAATGTCTTCTCTTATTTTGAATGCAAGCCATTTATTCTTTTAGTCTATATTCTATTGAGTACTTCTCATTATATTTGTTAATTGGCATTTTCTCTTTTGCTAATTACTTCTAAGTAAAGCAAAATAGTTAACTGAAAGATAAACTGTTGTCCGTTTTAACGTTGTACAGAAAAATGTTTTCAATTCTTCACTGTTCCGCCTGTTCCCATTTTTTCTACTGTTAAAAGATAATGGACGAAAATTTATTACAATTCTTTTTGTAAATTAGTACTTAATTACTTTGATGTTAATATAAAGTGTTTCGCTT